GATGAGCGTCTTTAGATTTGGAGTTTTGTTTAGCAAAAAAGGGAGAAATCGCCAACCGAATCCCGCGTCATCATGCACAATTTTCAAATTATGTAGGTTTCCAAACACAGGGATGGCCTCACGGAAGAAGGAAAACGTCTGCCATTGATAAAAAAAATTAACTAGTCATCATCAACTAAGTTCAACTTTTTAGAACAGAACCTCATGAAACATTGTGAGTATATGTAACATCCTATGGAAGTTAAGATGCACGCCTGATTCTCCTATTCGTGCTCTTTTACTTTCTCAAGCAGTAATTACGCATTACAAACTGAAAAAAGAAAAAGAAAAAACAATACCAAACTTACCTCGAAACTCAAAGGTGATGATAATTCCAGGATCTTAACATTTTTCATCCCCTGTATCAGATTCATCGGATTGCTAGAAAGAGCCTGACCTTCCTCTGGAAATATTACATCCCACTGGCGATCTACCAACACCTGAAGATCGAGCTTAGCTTCGACAAGGGAGTCAAAGTTAACGAATGGGTATGCATCCGGGACAAAATCAGCTATATCCAAGTAGGTAAGACTCGGGGTATTAAAACTAATGCTCTGAAAATCAGGCATATCAAAACCTCGGGACAAGTCACGACCAATAGTAAGCCTTTGAAGAGTTCGACTTGACACATTGCCTGACCAATTCCAAGTTTCCCAGTACATACCATCTATTTCTAGTTCCTTAAGCACAAGACAAGCTAAAAGAAGCGCTTTGAATGCACAATCACCAGGAGAATCGAACTTGACTGACTCAAGAACAAGAGTCTCAAGCGATGGTAACAAAGCATTGTTAGGAATGCCACTGATAACAAACGCACTCCCTAGTTGAAGCTTAACCACTGTCTTGCAATTGAAGAGCTCCAAAGGCAGTGAATGTTCATTTTCACCATTTATGCACAGTTTGATATCCATGACACCGAGCTTCACCACATGACGCAGACAACGGTTGAAATGATCTGAATCAAGACCGTTCTGACATTTTAGAGAGAATTTTCTGATCCGGGTTTTAGTTTCCATCAGAGCCAGGATACGGTCCAAGAAACCGGGAAGATTCTCTTGATTCTCTGCAGCTTCCTCATCGAATTCAAGATTTAGTATAAAGCTAAAAAGATTCTGAAACCTTTTTGATGCAATCGACACATAAAACGCATTTTGTGCAGAAAGAAATGTCGCGATGTGGCCTATAATTTCATCAGGTAGATCGGTGATTCTATCGGCCATTTCCTCCTAAGAAAATTTAACAGAAGATGAAGATAGAAGGATTTGATTGTGTTCAATTATTTCAAAGGAGAACTAATTACCTCTATAGCTCTCGCCTCTCTCTCCGCGACCTGAGATGAAGAAATCTTTAGCGAACTCAAACTTCGGTCTCTTTCTCTCTGAGAATTAAGGAGATAGATAGAATAGGTTGAGAAGAACAGAGAGAATTAAAGAAGAAGTAGACGAAGTGTC